AAAAAAAAAAAAAAAAAAAAAAAAAAAGTCAGTTAGTGATTTTACTAACAGAACAAGGAAAGTATCACAAGATCTTTAAAGTCCTGTTAGAGGAGACAGAGTTAGGTTTTGGAGAATTTACCCAAGTGGACCTAGTCCTTCAGTGTGCTTGAGACAAATTCTCTACTGGGCTCTCAGCAGGTCTATACTTGCAATAGCCCAGAAGGGGTAATCTAACCACATATCCTGTTGTTATTATTTTTTTACCTTCTTCTAAAACAGATTCCACACCCATTGTCAGTAACCTGCCCTAACACTCAATAATTCTTTCAAAATAATGAAACCAAACCACTATTGCTGCTTTCAGGGGAAGCTTCCTCTTCGGAAGCACACAGTATGGTGAAAAGATGCTGTTTAGATGGCCATTTGCTTCCAGACTCTTCTGCTTGATAAAAGGGCCTGAGGATCTGCAACTATGCCCTTTCTCATGGAGTTTCTCTACATATTTTTGCTCTTAATTTCAAGTTTCTGATTAAAAACCATCTCTTAATTATAAGTTACTGTGGGATTCCACAGCTGGATATGGAAATCAAGTGGGTACTCAGGTGTCAGGTTTAATTAATCTGGGTAAGAAAACGGTAATTCATGGTTATCTTGATGATCAAAAGATGTATTACCAACCTTTCAGTACTTCTCTTTGTTCTTTTCAGTGGAGAATTACAAATTTTCATTACTGAACTAGACTCTCACCTAATAAGAACAGCTACTGAACCCTGAGTGGCTGCGGGGGGAGGCACTAGGATGGACACTTCACAAACTTGACCTCTTACCCTGTGACAACTCAGCAAAATAATTAGGGCAGCTCTCTTGTGCAAAATCATACAACTAACGAGTGGCAGAGCTAGAATTTGAACGTGGATCTGCAAGACTCTAGTGCACAGTCACCGACAGACAGGTGGTTGGAAGGCATTGCAGGAGAAGGAACAGGAACCGCGAAAGCAGGAAGGTTTGAGAGGCTGAATCAGCGTTTCCTGGCGCTGCAAGAGGGATGAGAGAGGGATCACTTTGCCAAGCTCTTGTTTGGAAAAGCCTGTTAGATTTACCAAAACCACAAGCTCAGAAGTGAGTTTGTATGAATGATGGGAAAGGGGGTTAAGGGTTATTAAAAACCACCTCCCCCAAGGGCCTTTATAAGGTCAACGTGTCAGCTTCTCTCTTAAGCAAGGGAGCTTGGATTCTCTATGGATCATTGCGATGCCTTCAACTGTTCAGTTGACCCGGGAGAGGATGGTCTCTTACACACAAGGGGAACATTGTCAGCACCAAGAATCACAGTTTTGCGGACTCAAATGCATAACTTCATGCATCTCGGTTACAGGTCATGGTCAGCACCATCACTCAGGTGTGCCTGGAAATGAGTGAATCATGTACAAAATCAAGTTCTGACCTGGCTCAGAGTGGCACTGCCACCGTCCTCATCAGGTTTTGCCTGGGTTAATAATCCTCCCTGGGCTCTCTACTCCAACCTGCCTCCTGCATGGCTGCTTGGATGAATTTCTGAAATGCAAACCTCAGCATGTGATTTTCTCCCAAAAACGCTCAACAGCTCACCGTTGTCTACAGGATGTAGCCCCAGCTTGCTAGCATGGCACAGTCTTGCCGACTCACAGCCTCATTTTCTGCCAACCTGTCTTTTCACTTCATATGCCAGTAATAATCACCTGTTACAGGTCCCAGGGCTTGCATGCTTCCACACATTCATGCTTTGCGTGTGCTGTTTCTTTTCCTGGAATGTCACCCCCCTTTATCTGCTCAGCACACTTCTCCTTCTTTAAGTAGTCTCAGCTCACGTGCCAGCTCCTCTGTGAAATCTCTGCAGACTTTCCAAGGCTGACTTAGGCATCCTTTGTCCTCAGCCTCTCCCTTCCCTTATAAAAGCTTCCATGATCTTTATTGATTTCTCTACTGGATTGTTAGTTGCTTGAGAGGACTGCTTTTATTTATCTTTGCACCCTGGTACCTCATACTAGATGCTCAACAAATATTTTTTGAGGAAATGAATGAATGGGACGTGAGTCACTATGAAGGACCTTGTCACTGGTCTTCATTAGTCCCATTATGGGATTTGGTATGTTTCTTTCTGGGAAAGTCAGCCTCATAATAATCTATACGTGAGGAGAGTCAATGCAATCATAAGTATAAAGTGCAGACAGCAGATGGGAGGAGTGTTTCATTTAACTGTATAGAAAATAGCCTGACCTTCTAGAGATTGTTTCCTGGTCTGTCTTCATCATTAAATTCTAAATAGCTTGAAGTCAGGGCCTGTGCCTTTGTTTCAGCATCCTCAGTACTTGGCATAAAGGTGATTCTTAGTTATGTCTGATAAATGAATTGATGTCCTCCCCGTACTGGGGCTGCAGTGACATGGGCCAAGTAGTTTCTTTCGTTATGAGACTGGGATGAAAGTAAGGGTAAAATGACAGTAAAGCTTAACATGTTCCCCAAAAGATTCCATGACATAATGGGGAGGATTTATGCCCACTCTATTTCTAGTTAAATCTGTGATCTTGGGCAAGATCCTTTCCTTCCCTGTTGCTCAGTTTCCCCAACTGAAAAATGAGTTGGACAAGATGATCTTTAAGGTCCTTGTGCCACCACTCGTTGATTGGCAGCATAAGTTTTCTAAGTATGAAAATATGAGTCACAGACTTCAACCTGGCTTGTCTCAAGAGTCGGTGCATGTTGGCTCTGCATTCTTTACCTGAAAACTGGTGGTACTTGAGCATTTGTTACCTAAGGGAGGGGAAAGATACCAGAGTGTATTATTTTTATGCTAGGGTTCCAGGCTGTAAGATAAAAGCCAGCCCAGCCCCAAATCAAATAATTTCTCATGCTTTGAGTTGTCAGAGAGACTCAGTGCTAGGCACAAAATGGGACTGGTAGAAGGGCTCTGATGGGCAAGAGAAGACCACGTTTTTATACACTGCAGTTCACAGAAGCCTTTTGTGTAACAATATTTACCCGTATAACAATGCTGTAAGAAAGAGATAATTATCATCTCTTTTATTGATGAGGAGTTTGACGCTCAGAAAGAATACATAATTAACCCTATCTCAGCTAGCTAGTAAAAAGCTTAGTACAGAGAGAACAAGATGTCTCAAACCTCGTTGGTTTCCTGATAAAGGCTCTTATCTCTTGCCTGCGTTCTTCAACCACCTCTTAACTGGTCTTCCTGCCTTGGGTTTGGTCACTTCTCATCCATTTCCTACCCTGTCTTGATAACAGGATTCTAGAGCAGAAGAGGCAAAACATGTAAGAATGCTCTGAGAACTGGGAAACTTCCGGGAAGGGAGAAAAGACCCACCAGAAGGTCCGAGAAGCTCCCATGAGCATCTTTCCTCCACACACCCTTTTGGCCTTAAAGAGGATTCAAATAAAATATATATGTGGGGTGTGTGTGTGTGTGTGTGTGTGTGTGTGTGTGTGTGTGTGTTGCCCTGAGCCTGTCCTTTGCCTACTCTGATACCTAAGCCCAGCTTCTCAGGACACACCAAGGCTTGCTGCATGCGATGAGGCACACAGAACAGCACGCCTGGCTTCTCCTAGGTAATTGGACCATCAGTCTGGCTGAATCTTGGTGAGATTCATGGAAAGACTTGGGGCCTGAGTTGGGGTGGCACCACCACACATGCAGACACACAGCAGGATGAGCACAGTGATGGGGAAACAGT